TGCATTTGGAATTTATCTGCCACACTTGTGATTGTGTGCCAGTATTTTGTAGTTTGTCTTTACTTACTTAACATTTTAGTAGGTATAGCATTTACTAACATTTGTCAATATAGAGATTGCATTGTTCTTTCTCTTTTAAATACTTTGTGAAATTCAGATTTATTAAAAAGGTAATTACTGAAATGACTAGGATTAACATTTATGATTGAACATAATAGAATGGGACTTAGAGTATCAATAAAGAAAACTAATTTTGTGAACCAGATGAAATTTTATATTCAATAGTAGAAGCCTAACTCTTTCCAAAATTAATACTTCCATAAGTCAGTCTTTGTCACTGATAAGCTGATTTTCACAGTCTCCAATCCTCATGTTATTTGGTTGTTCATAGGATTCTTTTGGCCACTTAGCTTTGTATAGTTGATTTTTTCTTTTCAGACAGAGAGATGATACCATTTATTGCAATATGGAATGATTTAGCAGCAAATTTCTTTCTCCTAATGTCGTCTTTCTTTATTTAGTCTCCTAACAGTTCCTGCTGTTAAAGTTATTCTTTTACCTAAAAAATTTTTGAATTCTATTATAATATTTCCCCATCTGGTCTCTCTTAGCTAGAAATCATTTTATCAGTTTCTAGGAATATTTATCTTTATTTATGCTGCACACATGCCCACTTAATGGTTATGTTGTAATGCATGATATATTTTCAGCAAAAAGGGTCATGATAGTGTAAGTTATGGAGAAATTCAGAGATTTCCACTTCTCAATATAACAGATAACACATATTGTTTTCTTCTAATATGAGTTGCTGTTGATTTTTGTTGGCCTTTGTAATTAATTTCTTCTCTATACCCCTGCAATCTCAGGTGCACTCCCTTATACTTATCAAAGAGTATTCATGTCAATGACATTGGCCATCCATAGCCTAGTCCCACTATTGGATATTTATATGCATGTATACAACATAATTAATTATGTACTAAACAAGTATGTGTGTCTGTCATTTTCAGTTATTTGCCTATCTAGAATTTTTGTGAAGGGAGTTAACCTTTCTCCTGCTTCTATAACAACCCACCTACTTCCTATGGATTCTCTTTGTAGTTGCCTCTTTCTCTACTCATGCCATAAATCCAAGTCTTTCCGAGAAGTCTGTCTTAGGTCTGTTCTCTTTGCAGCCCCCTTAGATGACTTCATATGGCAGTTTGACTCCTGATTCTCAACTCTCTTCTTTTATGTGCAAATCCAACTGTCACCCTTGACTCAAATTGAATTTGACCTTGGCTCAAATTCAGCAGATTTCCTAACTGAATACATCGCCTGTCTCAAAAAACCACTCTGTTTTAGAATTTTCTCTACCATCTTTCTTGCTCAGACTAGAGACCTAGGACCATTTTGAGAGACCTGCTCTCAAAATTCTCCCATATGTTTTTAAAAAGTTACAATTCCTGCAGATTCTGTTTCTTTAATAACTATTGATTCATCCCTCCTCTAGTTCTGGGATACAGTACCACTACTATTGGAGCATCTTCCTGAAGTCTGTCTTCAGATTTACTCTTGCTCTACCAACCTCCCGCAGCTCATTCACCTGGCTTAGGAAGACCCCTATGGCTCCCCAGAGGTGGTGTTAGGTGCACATTTTGTTTTCTTTGTAACTACTCCGTTTCATCAAGCACAGTCATCACAATACTTACCATCCAATGTGGATTCTGCTTGTTTATTTCCTCAAGCTAGGTTAACTGTGAGCTTGAGATCCTGCTTGCCATTCAATCCCTAACGCCTCGCATAGTGAATGCTGCACAGAAGGCACTCAGCAAATACTTCTTCAATATTGTTGAGTGTTAGTCAATTTGTAAGCTTTCTAACATTTAAACTCTAAAACAAGTAGAAAGAAATTATCATAAACACATAAATTGCGTAAAGACAAAATCTGGAATTAGAAGTCTGGGATTACATTTCTGGCGCTATCGTTGCCTTGTGGAATACTTTTGACAGAACATGAAATTTTCTCACCATAATGCAATCATATAACACTCATCATTACTGAGTATACCATAAAAGTGACAATCACATCTTGAATTTAAGACCTCTAAATAGTTAGAAGCATTTCTTATAGATGATTTATTTGTTCAACCTCTCTTTGGGGTACACATTCCTCTTTCCTTCTATAGGGTAATGAAGGGGGACAAAGCCCCTCCTGTGTCGATGACAAAATATTGGTCCAGAGATGGTTACTGCTACACAGAATGTCATGAAGATTCATGAACATGTCTTGAATTTTTATGTTCCTACTAGAGAATGTGAGTTGTATAAGGTATTATGTATTATGCTCTTGTACATCTAGTTTCTTAAAAATTCAAAATATTTTGGGGATGAAAATATGTACAAATTATTTCAGTATTTCAGCTTATTCCTGGATGCTTCATGTTTTTCTGGAGACATGTTTTTTCCCCACACCCACTCAAGCCATCTGTGTACCAGGCAAGCTTTCTGAGATGTAAAACCAAGTGAAATATGTCCGTTCCATTTATTTAGAAAAGACTATGACTAATGATACTGTGGGGAAAAAATGGCATAGTTAATGAAAAGTGTATTTCCTGTATGAATAGCTAGGAAGCCTGGCAGTTATGGCCACAAGGTAAATAGGTCCTCAAGATTCAGCACCAGAGCTTTTCAAACCAGTGTCTGCGGGAAGCAGAGAATTGGTGTCTACCCAGCATCTAGAGATAACTTCTTTGAAATGGAATTTATCACCACCATTAAATGGTAAAAATACTTTAAAATTCACACAGTATTGCATTATTCCCCCCAGAATATACTATTGTTTGTTTTACATTAAAAAGATGTTTAAATGATCACCATTAATTAAAAATGACTTTCTAGAAAATATACCATATTTATTCTTGTCTTTAAATACCAGGGCACTGGCTTACCTGGAGGGTTACTTTTATCATGTTTGAAAAGCCCAGGGTCTTAGAATATTGCATCCCAGAACAAGGTTTTTATGTTGGAATTTAAGAAACTCTTCTTATGCCCTCTTTTTACTTTGCTACCTAATTGGTAGCATGTTCACAGTTAAGATGATTGGGGAATAGAAGATCAGCTTCCTCAAGTAGAGATTTCCTGTTAGAGGAAAAGGAGCTATCTGAAGTGAGAATTACCTGTCCCCTTTCCTCTTTAGATCTCAAAAACTAGAACTCAAACCAAGAAGTTCTAAAACTTAGTAATCTTTTGTTGAGCATTTTGAAAATATGATCACACTGAAAGCTGGTCATGCTCAAATATAAGTACAAGAGGTGACTTATCTATACATTCAAATTTCAAAACATTTTTAAGGCCTGCCATGTGTTCTGTTAAAAGGTTTTTGATTTAAAATTATTCTGTTAGATAATCCTGTTTTTTAAGTGACATTATGATTTATCACCACTAATCAAGATTCTGATCCCTCATAGACTTCTTGTTTGTATCTGTTTTTGTTCTTTGTTACATAAATATGAGGTTTATATATAAAATTTTGACTGTGTAATATTGGGCTAATGAGTCACAGATGGAAAGATGCTGGCACATTACCATCTAATAACATTTTAAACTCGTATTCCATAGTAAAACAAAAGCAAATTGTACACATCTGTTTTCCAACTTGTAGCATATCTGAGTTTGTGCAGAGTCTATGTTTAAAGGACTTTTACTTGGAGAGAAGAAAAAGAGGACACAGGTCATCTCAAAACTACCCAGCCACTTAATAGCCTTATCAGGATGGATTTGGCAAAAGGGATGAGGTTTCCTCTGCTTTGCTTCCTGAGAAGTCATAGTGCTAAAGAATGAGAACCAAAGATATTAGGGCTGAAGAAATGTCTTCATACTACAAACCTGATTTTATTGGGTCTCTTAAAAAGAAAAACGTATCCCTAACATGGGCAAAATAGGAAAATGTCCATAAAAGTTATCAAATTATAAACCTAGAAACTTTCTGGTCATTCCTAAAAGTATCCTCAAACTAGAATTGGGTGGGAAGAAGGAACGCTCACAGAAACTTGAGGCCATGTGTCACTGTGGTGCTTGTTTATTTGTATGGTAAACATGTTCTGTTGTTTTTTATATTTTTAAATTGGAATAAAAGACTCCAGTTTCACATGTTGTTAGAAAAGAAATGGAGCAAAGGCAAAATTTCTCTTTTCAACTTAACCAATGGATAATGCCTTTGTGGAAGAATTAGTACATGTTATTGAAGTACATGTCTCTGAAAAACATCTCTCCCTCATTCTCCTTGGTGAAGGAATTTCAAGCCACTTTTCTGCTTTAAGGGGTTGTGTGAACTGTCAAGTTCTTTTGGAAAAGTTACGTGACAGAAGTGATTACTGCAGAGTGTGACCATAAATCCCCCTGACATGAAATGCACATGTTATAAGAGACAGATTTCCATCTCCCACCTCTGCGGAAATTCCTAAAACAGGAGACCTGAGATTCATCATATGATTGGAGAGAGAAACTTTGATATGTGGGTGGCAAGACTGTATTTTATGTGATGCACTATGTTTATTCTTAGGAATACCCCTGTTCTGACAGCAAAATTCTGTTCACTGTTCTTGTCCAAAAAAAGAATTAATACATGTATTGTACGTCTGGAGTTGTAAACAGAGTATCGATAGAGGAGATTTACAGTGTTGTTTTCATAACAGTGTCTATAGTTATTTCCATTTTGTACTAACATTTCATGAGGAAGATTCCAGAAATGTTAAGAACAGGAAACTACACAGGCATAGGTACAGATCCCATTGTGCCTGCCCCAAGAGGCCCTTAGGGTTCTCAGTCCCACACACCATGCTTTAAGGAATGGCTGGTCACTTGGGAACTGATGTGTCTAATTCTGTTGATGGTGTTCGTAAGACCTGAGCCAGGGAGTTAGTTAGACATTAGGTACGTGCTTGTTTTGTTTGTCCACCAGTGAAATGTCTGTGTGACGTACTGTGTCGTGTTGTTTTGGTGCTGTGCTGTGTCCATAGGGCCCGCCAGGCTTCCCCACAGTTGCTGCCCTGCACAGTAATCAGATCCTCACCGTCAAGGTTTGTGGTTGACACTTATGTCTGCTCAGAACCGCAATCAGCATAAGAGTCAGCAAGAACCATTTGATTGGCCTGCCCAACCCAGGTGCTCCCTGTCATCCTAACTGCAAGTGACTAGTGTTGGGCATCTGGAACGTCACCTGCCTCAGTGAGGTCAGATATATATTAAAGGGCTGTATCCTGAGCAAAGTCAGAGAAGGATGTTGTATCAAACAGATCAGTGTAGAGAGGTGGGCATCGTGAGCTAGGACCATGCCACACCTCCCTGGTTTGAGTTGCATGTATCCTAATGCTCTATGATATTTCCCAGCTACTTAAGTAATTCTAAGTACTTTAGACTTTGGGCATCAAAGAAATTGCTATCAGGTTCTTGCTGCCTTATGCTGGTTGACAAGTCTGATGAAAATGGAACTGGTGCTTCGTCTGTAGACTTTCTGCTCAGAATGCAGCTCTCCCCCCAATCCAGCTCACCTCCATCTCGGAATGGGCTACACAAAAAAAAAGACCCAACACTAATACAAAAAGGATTCACTTCTAACTAAAAATATGGCCTCACCATCCCATTTCAGGGTTATATGTTTTTTAAGACGAGCGAGAAGGTCTGGTGGCAGACACAAGTGCCAGTTCCGTTTTGTTCCATGGTCATTATAAATCTAATGTGTATATCTTTATTTCTTTCTTGGGGCCTTCTGATGCCTATTCTTCAACTCTCTCATCTCTGAACTTCAACCTTTGACCTCACCTGACTGATCAGATGGTGTTTCCTAAAATCAATCATGGGTTTCTCTCTGCTGATCAGCAGCTCATTAAACGCCGCCTGATTAAGGTAGTGCTGCTTCTTGCTGGAGTCTCGTTTCTTCTTTACATTCATATATTGCTCTGTGTTTTGCTTTACCATTTATCTCTTGTGGGTGGGGCATGATTGGAGGGTGGCCTTTATCCTAGAACGAAATTATGTTTAGTGAGCTCCATTTGAAATGTATATACAAGTACCAAAATTAAAAGACATAGCCTGCCTAATTTTTGATTAATTAAAAAAAAAAACAAACTTAAATTGTAACCAGTAAGAGATGCAGTTTCTAAAGTTCTCTACCTTTGGTAATTTATAAAGTATTACATAGTATACAAGAACCTCATATGCTTAATTTTGTAGATTATGAAAAAATATTTGTCAAACTGTAAATGAAGCCATGTATAGTGAATATAACTGATATAGCATTGCCATAGATAGAGTTATATAAGCTCTGAATATAGTGATTGCATAATACTCTTAGAGCTGTGCTGCTGGTTTCTGAGCTACTTTGATTTTAATATTATCTACTCAGCTCATCCAGTGTGAATATTTATTGGCTCCCTGCTGGCAGGTAAATTGCCTACAGGCTCCGTGTTTCTGGTTCTTTTCATTGTGTAAATGTGGATGATACAAATTGTTGAAAAGTGTACAAAGTGTTGAAAAGAAGACTTGGGTGTTCAAATTTGATGGTTATTGTTGGTCTGTTCCCTTCTTCTTTCCAGGGTGACCAAGGTCAGGCAGGGCCTCCAGGACCCCCAGGCCCTCCAGGCCCACGAGGGCCACCTGGGGACACAGGGAAAGATGGCCCCCGTGGAATGCCAGGAGTACCTGTGAGTTGCCTTCTGGATCAGTGTTCTCACAGGTTTTGTTTTGTGTTAAGGGCTGAGAACTCCGAAGGAGCAGGGTGGGGCTGTGGGACCAGGGAGTGAAGTGTGTGGAGGGGTTTGAGGAAAGTGGGATGACAGGAGGGTTCCCAGGGTTTGAAGGGCCCTCCCAGCAACAGTCCACTTTACTACCTAATCCACCTGGAATCCGTGTACACCACAGAGACTTGGAGACAGCAGCTAAATTGGTTTTCAGGTAAGCCTCAAGATGTTCATGACCAGAGATGCCGTATCTTACAAGTATCCTGCCTACCATAGGGTACGTCAACCAATGCATTGGCTTAGGCGGGAGCTTAGTCGAAAAAATTTAAGTGCTGGATTAATAACATTTCCCAAAGGCTCAATTGCATACACAATAAAGCCCCATACAATGTATGGAAAATAAAGGATGTAAATTAATACTTAATCTCTTATAAATAACTTGATCAAAAAATAATGCCAAAAAGAATAGCACAATTTATTGTTCAAACATCAGTGTTTAATGATCTTAATACCCTAGTTGTCCTTTGTATGTAAAGTTTATTAATAGAAATCATTTAAAAGTGATTTCAATACTTAGTAAGATTAAGCAAGTTTCAATAATGTCAAAGTACAGGCTAGATCAAGGATATGGTTTGATAGAGGCAACCCAGCCATGTAAGGAAATATATGGAAAACATTAAAAATGTGAAATTAATATTATGGCTTTAGGACTAGAAATTAAGATTTATTGCCAAATTAAATTTTATTTAATGTATTGCTTTAACTTCAACCATCATTAATTCAAGAGGACCAAAATTTAAAATCAATCTCTAATCATTTTGTGGTTTAATTCCTGCACTAAGAGCAACTGTGTGTGTGTGTGTGTGTGTGTGTGTGTGTGTGTGTGTATATATATATATATATATATATATATATATTATACAAACACACACATGTTCAGATTCTCAAAAAGAAGAAACCATATTATCAATTTTTGTCATCATAAGAGGTCATGATGATCCAGACTAAATTTTTAATTTCAAAGATGTCCATAAAATTATTTTGAAGAAAAATATCAGTTCTTTTAAGTGTGCTATGTTTAGATTCCTCTATTTAATCTGAAAAATGTACTTGACATTCATGTGCCCAGAAAGTATTGAGGAAAAGAAAGAAAAATTATTGAAATTGTTTTTTAATGTTTACATATTACTAAAATTATCACTTTTTTTTGGAAGGGTGAACCAGGAAAACCAGGAGAACAAGGCTTGATGGCAAGTATCTCGATTTATTTTATTCTATATAAAAATAATGGAAATCCAGGTTATTAAAATCTATGGCCAAGTTTATATGACAAATACATCCGTTAAATGAGCAGAAAGTGAAAATTCATAAAAGTTAAAAGCTATATGGTCTATCTGCTGCATGCTAAGGATCTCAACACCTCTACAGAAATTATGCTGGAGAAAAAGAAGATTCCAGGTGGGGAAAGTGGCAGAAAGATGCTGCAGAAGGTCAAGGGAGAAGGCAATTGAAGCAGCTCTGTTGTAAGGGAGATAAATTCAAGAGTATGCTGTTTAGTTTAAATAGAAACATGTATTCAAAGGGATCAGGTGTGACGGTGAATTAGGGTAGCAAACCTTGACAGTACTTCAAGGAGTGTTTTTGTTGCTGAAAAGCTCTACACAGAGAGAAACATTTTAAGACATTTTAAAAAATCTCTCATTTTAAGACAGGTCATGCAGTGATCTCACATGGACTTGTATGGACACGTGGAACCCAGTTCCTCATGAGTTGTTTATTCTTTGCCAGTAGAAAATTCAGGTCAGCTTGCTGATCCTTGAAGAGTGAAATGCCTTCAGCCACCTCTCCCTAACTCTGTCTTTCAAGCTGCTCTTCTAGCCCACTTTACAGTTTGAACACTATGGGGAAAGGCGGTTGATGCTCTAGTTACCCCAATGTCAAAGGACAACAGGTACCCATCCCAGCTGCAGAATGGGTAGACCCAGAAACCGCACCAGGAGCTGGCAGGTGATCATAATAAGCTTGATAGGGTCCAAGCTATATGATGGGGGGCTCATAGTGTACAGGTAATCAGCGTATAAAATTTATTTAAAAAAATCCTTAGCTAGGCCCTTGTAAAACTAATGCACTGGAGAACAACAGTGTGTGGGGAATGGAAGCCAGCATGGGAATGTGGAAGGTCAAAGGCTTCCCCCTCAGAGCTTTCAACAGCACTCTCCCTGGGAGCAGCACACCCACTCAGCTGCCTTTGTGAGCAAGAGCTCTGATGAAATGAAAGCACCCTAGGATCAAATCGCACCCACTGCCTGGAAATTCCATTCTTGACCTAAAATATCAAGGTAGATATTTGATACAGATTATTTTTGGTGCCATTATGTATTTTTTTTTAAAAAAAAAAAAAGCAAATAAAATGAAAGAAAAAGAAATGAAAAATCACATCTGTCACTAGTGATAACTACATAGAAGTGTAGCATCAACAGCTATGTTATGGAGTCACAGTGTGAAGGATTCTTGCAAGACCATATGATATAAAATTTGGAATTGCTTTAAGCAATTGAATCTGTGATTTTTATTCTGGAAAAAATGGTCAAAACATATTTTTCCCATCCATTCTTACATCACAACCTCAAGAGTTTGGATTGTTTCTAGCGTACCCAGAAATTATCATTGGCACTGACTGGCTTTCCTGATGCCCAGCCCTGCATCACAATATGCAATATCCTAGAATAAAATGGATATTTCTTAAAAACAATATTCTTATCTTTCTTGAATTATATATGCTCTCAAGGATGTACTACTATATGAATAACAACATAATCCCATTTTTCTACAATTCCTTGTTTCTTGGATTTTTGGTGCTAGGGATAAAACACAGGTTCCTGTATGCTGAACATGAACCCTACCACTGAAATACACTCAATTCTCAGACAGATATCATTAAATATAAATGTTTAACCCAGCCCTAAATGAACTGTGTTAATATCTTAGGGTACTTAGATTTCCTATTTCAGATAAAAACTTTCTCATTACAGATACTACTGGTTATTTTTTCTATAAACTTTTTCTTCTCTTTAAATTTTTCAGATTCAGTTCATGTTCTTATTTTTTAAATGACTCTAAGAAACTTAATTGAAATCAAAATATCCCAAGGAAAGGTGTATGCAGTGGTCTTCTAAAGTTCATTTAAAAATTACTGCATTTAAAGATAGAAAATCCTTTTTCTTAAGTGAAAGTTCTATAATAGGAAAAGTAGACACATCATAGTGTCCATCTCAATATATTTTCAAAAGTACATGAAACTACGTACAAACCAGATCAATTACTAGAATATCATCATAAGCCCTGCTCTACCTCCCAGTCCCCATCCCAAAGGTAACCACCATTCTGACTTCTGTCGCCATAGATTAGTCTTGCCTGCATTTGAATTATATATTAATTGCATCATACAGTATGTACACAGTTGTGTCTGGCTTCTTTCATTCAACATTATGTTTGTGAGATCATCCACCTCTTTTAATAGCCTTCACAGCTGGTTAAAAAGGGAGGAGGAGGAACCTTCCTGCCTTGACTACCCCGTTAAAACTCCATCACTCAGAGCAGTAGATGAATGAATGTCTGTCTGACCTTGGGCAAGTTACTTAACCTCTCAATTTCTCATCTGTAAAGAAAGGATAATATCCTTTCTGCCTGCTATAAAAGACAAATGCAATAAATTAGAGGAAAGCACTTTAAAATATATAATGAAGAACTATGTGAGCATGTTATTATTATTATCACTCAGTTGTTCTCTCTAGAGTAAATTACAGGTGAACATGCATGGATTTATATAGCAGATGTATCCCTGTAAAGTTTCATATGAATCAGATTTTCAAAAATCACCATATTTTAAATGTGCTGGGAAATTTTACTATTTAAAGCTACCCTATTTAAAGTCTTTTTGTAAAGTAGTATAACCCCCTTATTCCACTTTCCAGCAAATTGAATTTTTATAGTTTATATTTGTTTAACATAAATGTTTCTCTGATTTAAAAATCTCTCATTTTTAAAAAAATCACAATTCTCCTTGTTAACTTGAATAGTACCTGTATATTTTAATTCATCTCATAGAGAAGAGAATACTAGACATATAATTGTAATTTTCATGAGGAGAAAAATTTCTTCAGAAATTTTCTTTCCAATATTTTGAAGTCTGGGTGTGTATACATATATTTGTGTGCACATGTGTTTTAACTAGCAGTCTGATATGGTGAAAAGTACGCCGTACCTGTAATTCTGGACTTGGAACCACTTAGAGATATAGTATGGTCTATGATCTTTTTTACTGATCTATAAAGTGTAGGCAATAATTCCTAATCTATTTATCTCACTACATTATGGTAAGAAGCAAGTGAAATACTTATATGAAATGTTTTATGAACTACAGAAAATCCATAAAAAGAAGTATTAATGCTAAAACAAATGTCCAGTGATAGAACTCAGCCTGCAGAAAGACTGCTATATGAAATGTAAGGGCTGAGAACGACTCAATAGCTATCAACTTAGTTACAGCATATCACATAGTGTAATTGATAGAGCAGTTTTTTTGTAGTTTTTTTTTTTGTCCTGTTTATTCTTGGTGGTGATGGTGATGGTCGTGTTTTATCCATCTTCTCCCATATATCACATCATTAATTTTTCATAACATTTCTCACCCACGAGTTAAAACAAGACAGCATGGTAAATACCACTGCTCCCATCTTGCCCTCATTATGTAAAACCTGCTACACTTGTTGCTTTGTGTCCTAGAGGAATATTTGCTTCCATGAGGGTCTTAAGAGGCACTGGAGGATATTTATAAATTTAAAATATCTCCAATGATGAAATGAGGAAGCTAGAAATAGCCTAAAATTGGGTCTTACAAAACTGTTTATGAGTGTGGCAGGTAGGGAATTAGTTTTCATAATCCAGGATAGTTTATATTGCAAAAATAATCATCTGAAGATTAACGGCATCTATGATACAATAAAAAAGAAAATCTGCAGCTCAAGCAGTTTCACATTTATTTAATCCTGCTGTGCATCTACTCTGTAAATGTGACCTTTGGGTTTTCTGAGAAGTTCAGGATGAGATTTTAAAAAACAGAATCTTGAGCTTAAGTAAATTTGACTCCATCTAAATAAGAACAGACGCACACTATCTTATAAAACCAGACACAAGAATAAAACCAACTGCCAACCAGAGTTGAAAGTGCTCAAATGTGTTCTAGCAAGAGTGATCTTTATCTTCCAGTTCTTCTGGAATGTAAATAGTGGTTAAAATCGTATTTTTGAAGGTATTTTTCCTTTAGATATTCTTATTGTTTCTTTCTTTGACAAATGCAGAAGTTCTCAGAAACATGAAATATAAATGGCATTTTAAAAAATATACCATCTAGGGCTAGGGTTGTGGCTCAGTGGTAGAGCACTTGCCCAGCATGTATGAGGCACTGGGTTCAATCCTCAGCACCACATTAAAATAAATAAATATATATTTACATTATATATATTATATGTATTATATATATATATATTATATACATATATTTTATAAATATTATATATGTATATATTTATACACATTCACACACACCAACTAGTCCCAGTTTGCTGAATATTGTTTTTTAGTTCAAAATATCTATATCCAAGGCTTCATAGATCATATCATTTTCTGAAACTCTTTATTCTTTCCATCTCCCCTTCCACAAATATATGTAATCTACAAAACATATCTGTCATCTCTTTTTGAACTATAAAAATACTCAAATTGTTACTTATTGGACCTTGATGGTATCTGTGAATTCAAAACTCAGAAAAAAAATTTTCATTAAAGTGAAATTTGGACTAGTGTCTGAAGAAATTATGGATATTCTTTAGTTTCTTTTAGTTTTGCCTATAAACACATTTAATACATTGTTGCCCAAGTGACAACCTGCTTTTTAAAAAATGTTAGTTAATAGCATAAGCATAAATAATTATTTCTGTTTGATTTAAAACAAAAAGTGAAATAACCAACACTTGATTTAAATATTCAGTTATATACATCACTGTGCACAGATTTGATAAAATTCATCATTTTACTCAGTTGAACTTTGATCTGCCTGCTGTCTTGATCAGCAGATGTCAGACATTGGAGACAACAGCAGACTCTTCCTGATTTGGATCTGGCAGAGAAAGCAAAATCTGAAACCATCAAAGCACAAATAACAAAAATGAAGAAAATCATCTTTGCATAG